CAAACGTAGCATATCATCCAGAGGCAGCGCTCCTAGTGGCCGGGGACTTTAATGCAGGGAAACTTAAATCCGTTCTACCTCATTTCTACCAGCATGTTAAATGTGCAACCAGCTGAAAGAAACTCTAGACCACCTTTACTCCACACACAGAGACGCGTACAAAGCTCTCCCTCGCCCTCTATTTGGCAAATCTGACCATAATTATATCCTCCTGATTCCTGTTTATAAGCAAAAACTAAAGCAGGAAGCACCAGTGACTCGGTTAATAAGGAAGTGGTCAGATGACACAGATGCTAAGCTACAGGACTATTTTGCTAGCACAGACTGGAATATGTTCCGGGATTCCTCCAATGGCATTGAGGAGTACACCACATCAGTCACTGGCTTCATCAATAAGTGCATCAATGACATCGTGCCCACAGTGTCCGTACGTACATACCCCAACCAGAAGCCATGGATTACAGGCAACATCCGCACTGAGCTAAAGGGTAGAGCTGCCGCATTCAAGGAGCGGGACTCTAACCCGGACGCTTATAAGAAATCCTGCTATGAACTCCGATGAACCATCAAACAGGCAAAGAGTCAATAAAGGACTAAGATTGAATCGTACTACACCGGCTCTGACGCTCGTCGGATGTGACAGGGCTTGCAAACTATTACAGACTACAAAGGGAAGCACAGCCGCGAGCTGCCCAGTGACACAAGCCTACCATTCGAGCTACATCACTTCTATGCTCGCTTCGAGGCAAGCAACACTGAAGCATGCATGAGAGCATCAACTGTTCCGGATGACTATGTGATCACGCTCTCTCCGTAGCCGATGTGAGTAAGACATTTAAACAGGTCAACATTCACAAGGCCGCAGGGCCAGACGGATTACCAGGACGCGTACTCCGAGCATGCGCTGACCAACTGGCAAGTGTCATCACTGACATTTGCAACATGTCCCTGACTAAGTCTGTTATACCAACATGTTTCAAGCAGACCACCATAGTCCCTGTGCCCAAGAACACTAAGATAGCCTGCCTAAATGACTAACGACCCGTAGCACTTACGCCTGTAGCCATGAAGTGCTTTGAAAGGCTGGTCATGGCTCACATCAACACCATTATCCCAGAAACCCTAGACCCACTCCAATTTGCATACCGCCCCAACAGATCCACAGATGATGCAATCTCTATTGCACTCCACACTGCCCTTTCCCACCTGGACAAGAGGAACACCTACGTGAGAATGCTGTTCATTGACTACAGCTCAGCGTTCAACATTATAGTGACCTCAAAGCTTATCACTAAGCTAAGGACCCTGGGACTAAACACCTCCCTCTGCAACTGGATACTGGACTTCCTGACGGGCTGCCCCCAGGTGGTAAGGGTAGGTAACAACACATCTGCCACGCTGATCCTCAACACGGGGGCCCCTCAGGGGTGCGTGCTCAGTCCCCTCCTGTACTCCCTGTTCACTCATGACTGCATGGCCAGGCACGACTCCAACACCATCATTACGTTTTCCGACGACACAACCGACAATGAAGAGACAGCCTATAGGGAGGAGGTCAGAGACCTGGCCGTGTGATGCCAGGATAACAACCTCTCCCTCAATGTGATCAAGACAAAGGAGATGATTGTGGACTACAGGAAAAAAAAGAGGACTGAGCACACCCCCATTCTCATCGACAGGGCTGTAGTGGAACCGGTTGAGAGCTTCAAGTTCCTTGGTGTCCACATCACCAACAATCTATCATGGTCCAAACACACCAAGACAGTCGTGAAAAGGGCACGACAAAGCATATTCCCCCTCAGGAAACTGAAAAGATTTGGCATGGGTCCTCAGATCCTCAAAAAGTTATACAGCTGCACCATCGAGAGCATCCTGACTGGTTGCATCACCGCCTGGTATGGCAACTGCTCGGCCTCCGACCGCAAGGCACTACAGAGGGTAGTGAGTACAGCCCAGTACATCACACTGGGGCCAAAATTCCTGCCATCCAGGACCTCTATACCAGGCGGTGTCAGAGGAAGGCCCTAAAAGTTGTCAAAGACTCCAGCCACCCTAGTCATAGACTGTTCTCTCTGCTACCGTACGGCAAGCAGTACCGGAGCGCCAAGTCTAGGTCCAAAAGGCTTCTTAACAGCTTCTACCCCCAAGCCATAAGACTCCTGAACAGCTAATCATGGCTACCCAGACTATTTGCATTGTCCCACCCCACCCCACCCCACCCCACATTTTACACTGCTGCTACAATCTGTTTATTATCTATGCATAGTCACTTTAACTCTACCCACATGTACATATTACTTAAATTACCTCGACTAACCTGTGCCCCCGCACATTGACTCTGTACCGGTACCCCCTGTATATAGCCTCCCTACTGTTTATTTTTATTTTACTGCTGCTCTTAATTTTATTTTTTTACTTAACTTATTTTTCTTTAAACTGCATTGTTGGTTAAGGGCTTGTAAGTAAGCATTTCATTGTAAGGTCTACACCTGTTGTAATCGGCGCATGTGGCAAATACATTTTGATTTAATTTTAGTGTGTCGGATTTACATTCCCTATGTTACGTCTAGTCTCAGAGACCAGGCGGGGAGTTTGGCTGCTGCTGTATCCTTGCAGGGTGGCATGGGTGTCTGGCGGAAGTGCATCATTTGATCATTGCCTGAAGGCAAGGGGTAGGGAAGCAACAGGGCCATGAATCTGATATGAACAGCCAACAACCACCAGAGAATGAAGATGAGAAGTGGGGTCACAAGGGAGAACTTAGAGGGACCTAAGACCCAACAGGCAACACAGCTCTGATCTGGTCCTCAGTGACATGTTCCCAGACAGTCACAGGAGGACAGCTGGTTGTCAGGGAGGTGACACCATGGATGTGTAATGATGATTCATAAGTCTAAAAGGGGAGGAGTCTTCTAGAAGGAGCAGCAATTCACTGACTACAACAACTCACGGAGGGGTTCTGAAATGCATGTAGAGACTTGGTTATCTTATCAGGAGGAAGAAAGTGAGTTGACAGTTGTGGTTTGTCATAACGAGTAAAACCACTCAAGGAAGTGGAAGAGGACAGCAACAGAACCTAATTCAAAGATAAATAAAGCCATGATATACATTTCTGTTTAACCATAGAACTTGTCATAGCCCATTCAAGTCCATTTTTTAAAACCAACCGAAGTGCTCCCCCATGAGGACACTGAGAATACACAATGAAAACCAAAGTAGTAATGCACCCATAGACATAGCGTTTACATCATTGAACTTACCATATTAATGCCAACGTTAACCAGTTAACCCCAACCTGACTACAATACAAACAGTTGTGTTTATATTGTGTCAGAATTAAGTCTTATACCAAATAAGAAAACCGAGCAGAGGGTTTAGAATGTCACTTTATTTTTCAAACTATTGAGAGATGTTAAACACTGAACAAATAAAGATGTCCCAGTCAAAACTGACCATATCCACATCAATCATCTTTAACATTTATTTATTGCGAGCTGTGTTTGAGTGATATCTCAGTCTGCAATTTACCCATACTGGACCAGTGTTCACTAAGGACCATTGCTTAGAAAAAACTGTGCATATTCCAGCATTATTGGACAAAGAATTTGGAATTGTCCCACACATAAACCTAGTTCCAAGGACAGGAGTAATATGCGGAACAAATCCAGATTTGACATCAAAGGCACATTGGTAGGGATGAATGTAGCGGCACACAGTCTGATCTTCGCCCATCTAAAGTCATGTTATATGTGGAGAACAGTGGCAATGCAAGATGAGAAAAGGAAAAAACTACTTAAATTTACTATCATGTTTGTCACATGGAAAAAGTTAAGAATGTGTGATGGTACCACAGCACTCTCTAGGTTTATGTAGTTTAACAAAAAAGCAAAATAAACAATGCTTGTTCATTCACCATCATGCATGCTTCTCAATGAGTAGAACATTCCTGCAAAACAAACGCTTAAAAGATCTGAGGGAACTTTGACATGGATGTCCAAACTATGCAAAACAATTTTTTACTTGCAGGTGTTGTGTATTTTTTATCTACACGTACCTTCGTGTCAATTATGAAATTACAAAAGTTATCTACCACTGTATAACTAAATACAAAGGTCTAATTTCTGTACATTCACTAAGGCTGTTCAACTTTAAAAATCTTGTGATTAAATTCCATAAGGCAAATGATAGCTAAAGGAATGGTAACAAGTATAGTTCCCGCATACAAACGTTTCCTTATTTTCTTGTCCACACAATTGTATACAGTTTTAATGTATTAGCGCTCACATTTCTGCCTGGGTGAGGATTGCTAGAGGATAAGGGAGGAAATACAAATGTACATTTAACAAATAAATAATTCAAAAACTAAACAGATTTTTTAAATACTTTTTGGATCGAACACATTCAAAAACAGGCTAAATTTTTTTGCAGAATTTCTTCCGGGAAGAAGTGTATGATGGCATGGGTGCATCAGAACAGAGTGGTGAGGAGATAGATGTGAGGAGTATGGAATGTTGGATAGCTAACGCGTATCGCCAATCAAAAAGAAAAGATTGTGCAAAACAATGGTATGCCTCTTTTGCATTGTAGAACAGGTCAACATTACGTGATGCAAGCAGAAAAGCTCTACAGGTTTTGTACATCTGTTTCGATAAACCTCCCCAAAAAACTGAAAAGGTCAAATAAATAGATGCATACATGATAAGACATTTTAGGAAAAAAAATGTTTCATGTCACAAAGCTTCTTTTAACTGCCAAATAGGTGTCAGTATTCCACTTGCTGGACACATTCGGCTTTACCTGTGCTAGATAAACTCTTTCAACCCCTTCTGAGCATAACTGTGCCTCTACTGGACAGCTCAAACCCAGCCAACCCTCAACTAGAACCGTAGTTTGCAATTCCTTGTTAGTAGCAGCACTGCAAACAGGGGCACATCTTTCCCGCAACTTTTTTTTCTTTTTGAAAAAAAGAACTGAAACAGCAGCCCTTTGACCAAGCAAACTTTTTTTTTTTTTTTTTACCAAAACCTCATTCGATTATCTCTGAGAGGGAGGCACGGAGGGAGTTTTGCAGTTCTGGCTTTCCCCAACTCACAGTGGGCAAAAAAAATTGTTTTCCTTCCTCTGTCAAGTGAAAGAGAGACACCCCTTCTCCTCAGTCTAGGCAGACGTAAGGCAGGATGTTTAGTTTGCTCTCATCCCCGTGTGGATCCAAAGATATGCACTCCGTCCAGTCGTACCAAGTGCCCTTGGTGTCGCAACAACCGTTTACGCCTTGCCAGTGCTCCGTATGTACTCTGTGGAGGTCCTCGTCAGTCACCTCCCGGCTCACCCCCGGTGTGTCCGTTACCGAGCTGTCCAGCTGCAAGACGTGCACTCCTCGCCTCGCCTCCCTAACATCGCTCTCCTCCCGTTTCAGGTATTCCGACATGAAAAAGTGCGCGCCGGGGGCCTGGACCCCCGAGGATGTTAGCATGTTGCTCTGAAGGTTTAGGTAGGACTGGATGATCTCGTTTCGGGACAGCTCTTTCCAGTTAGTCTGTTGGAAGGGGCTGGGGGTGGGGGGCTGATGCTGGTGTAAGGGCAGGTGAGTCCTCTGCTGGGGCTCAGGGGGAGGTTGCCTTGGGGGTTCCTCCACCTGAGAGGGTTCTTTATGTACCATGGACTTGATCTGCCCAGTCACAGGGTCAAACGTTAGCCTGCGCTCTTTTAACCGCACAGGCTTCATTTGGTCCTCTGTGTCCTGCCCCTGCAGGTTGACAGCGTAGTCTCTGGACCTGTACTTCTTCCTCTTTTTGCGGTCCGAGCTGGAGGCAGCGACTTCTGCCTCAGCCTTGACCACCACTACAGAGGAGGAGGGCGTGGGTCTGTGGAGTTCTGAGCTTTCAGAGTTCGTTGGGGCGGGCTGGGAGTTGGGAGGGAAGACCGGCGGGGGTTCCAGTGTTGCAGTGTTGCGTGGGGAATGGGTGGTGACCTCCGAGGAGCCGGGCCAGTGCAGTGAGGCCCTATGGGCAGGGGGTGGCAGCGCATCCACATGAGACACTTTGGCTGGGGACGTTAAAAACTGGGACGACAGCAAGCAAGGGCTCCGAGCTGGGCTTGGGATAGTCCCTTTTGGTGCATATGTTGAAGAGCGCTTGGACATCGTCTCTTGCTTCATAGTCCGTGGACTCCGCAGACTTGATGAGAGACAGCGGGGGCTTTTGGCTTGATACGACCCCCCTCCTCCTTCATCCAGCCTTGCCTGCTGCTGTAACACAGCAGTCTTGAGTAAAGAGGAAGTGCTAGGTAGTTTAGTGAGGCCCGGGGAGCTGGGGTGAGGCTTAACAGCATTGACAGGGATTCTACTGTGTTTGTCATTCTCTAGGTGCTCTGTCCGGGCCCTGTCCGGCGATGGGGGAACCTCAGGGCTACCTGCAATCCCATTTGTGGGTGGTGGTGGCGGGGTGGAGTTGTGCATCTGCTCGTAGGGGGACATCTTGGAGATTTTGGCCGGTAAATGCACACTGTCCCTTTGCTCCCCTCTACGCTTTCTGATGCTTGACTTCTCCGCTTTCGGCGAGTGGGTGTTGTGGACGTCATTTCTAGTTTTGACTTCTGGGACACCCTTGCCTGCCAGTGAGACGTCAGGGGGTGGAACGTCAGTCTGACAGGGGTGGGCACTGCCATTGGCAGAGCCCGGGACACAAACGGCCCCCCGCAATGGAGTCTCATTTTGCCCCGGCTCGATCAATTTCTGCCAGCTCCGCAAAAGCTTCTTGGCACGCTTGGCAAGGTCTTCATCCTTGGTCTTCTTCCTCACATCATTGATCAGTTTCCCCAAGCGAGTTTCCTAAGTTGGTAATAAAACAGTATAATAATAAAAAGTGGTTAAGAACACCAGAATCATTGTAACTGGCAACAATTTAAAAAGACGTACAAAGCTTTGGGTCTTACCTCAAGTGCTTCTTTGGTGATAGGGAACTTCTCCAAATATGTGATAACTTCTAATACTGCCACCATATTGCAAATCTGCTGAAAGGAGCAAAAGAGGTGATCAGAACACAGAACTTCAGACAATATTTGCTCAACAGTTAAGTCAGTTAAAAAGATGGTGTCAAGTAACTGCTGTTACTTCTAAGTAGGCAACAGTTAGCTTGCGAGCTGGCCTATTACCTAGCTAGAGCTAAACGCTATGCTGGTTATCAACTGGCTAACAAGCAATCTGGCCAATTATTAGTGACGTTGAACGTTCAGGCTGCTGCACAGACACTATGGAAGCTCTAGTCTAGAGCACCAGGTTAAATTGTGTTTGAGTGTATAATAAGTGAGAAATAGGTGCAATAAGCTTGTGAGTGGGCAGCATATACTATCATCTTAAATTGACACGTTGAATTATTTTGTCACATTACATTTTATATTGTTCTAATTTCCCTAATATGGACAGTTTGTGTTACTACCTTACACAAGCTCGCATTTTCACCACAAATTGAGAGGAATTACACTTCCTTTTACCTCAGATTGGTGATATAAACGTTTATAGTCATCAATATTACATTTACCAGACGCTGTTATTCAGAGCGATTTACAGTTAGTGCATTAATCTAAAGATAATTAGGTGAGACAAGCACATATCACAGTAAGTACATTTCTCAATGATACTAAATCGATTGCTTTAAACAGATTCATATCTTTGGTTTGTAGAACTAGCTGAGGTGATGATTAGATGTAATTATGCAGTCAAAAAAGTGTGTTGGGTTTCCTTTGGCCATCATTGTGGCACGAGGAGATGAGCTGATAAATGGCTACTACAGGTTTTCATCTATCCACAGGTAGGCTATATGTAGTATACCAAAGATAGTTATGGTTTGTCCTTTAGAAGAGCGCAAATAGTACATGTCGTCATGGTCATTGTCCCAGATCCATTGATTTCTATACAATATCGATGTGAATGATTAATTTGTGCGTGCTATTGATTACAGTACAAGCCCCTTGATAAATGTTGGTGTGTAGTAATTTAGCAAAATATAAGTTCGGAAAGTATTCAGACCCATTGACTTTTTCCACATTTTGTTACGTTACAGCCTTATTCTAAAATGGATTAAATAAATAAAAATCCTCAGCAATCTACACACATTACCCCATAACGACAGAGAGAAAACAGGTTTGTAGAAAAAAAACAGAAACACCTTATTTACAAAGGTATTCAGACCCTTTGCTATGAGACTCAAAATTGAGCTCAGGTGCATCCTGTTTCCATTGATCATTCTTGAGATGTTTCTACAACTTGACTGGAGTTCACCTGTGGTCAATTAAATTGATTGAGCATGATTTGGAAAGGCACACACGTCTATATAAAGGTCCCACAGTTGACAGTGCATGTCAGAGCAAAAACCAAGCCATGAGGTCGAAGGAATTGTCCGTAGAGCTCCGAGACAGGATTGTGTTGAGGCACAGATCTGGGGAAGGGTACCAAAAAATGTCTGCATAATTGAAGGTCCCCAAGAACACAGTGGCCTCCATCATTCTTAAATTGAAGAAGTTTGGAACCACCAAGACTCTTCCTAGAGCTGGCGGCCCGGCCAAACTGAGCAATCGGGGGAGAAGGGCCTTGGTCAGGGAGGTGACCAAGAACCCGGTGGTTACTCTGACAGAGCTCCAGAGTTCCTCTGTGGAGATGGGAGAACCTTCCAGAAGGACAACCATCTCTGCAGCACTCCATCAATCAGGCCTTTATGGTAGTGGCCAGACAGAAGCTACTCCTCAGTAAAAAGGCACATGACAGCCCGCTTAGAGTTTGCCAAAAGGCACCGAAAGAACGCTCAGACCATGAGAAACAAGATTCTCTGATCTGATAATTAATTGAAGGTAATGTATGGTTTCATAGTTAACGCTTAAGAGTACCTGTAATTATGCTAGCTAGCTACCTACCATTCAGCTGTTTTTCTAACCTCATTAGCTAAAGAGTTAACGCTAGCTTGTTGCTACCTGGATAGCTAACTAAACAACAGCTAGAACGACCTAGCTGTAATGTTTACAAGTAACGTTATCCCCACAAGCTGGCTACTAGATGACCAATAGAACAGTTGGTCCTAATTTGGAATTAATCTAAAACAATTATATATAACTAACTAGCTAGTTGGCTTGGTAAGATATGTTTGTATTAACCGGGCTTCTGCCTTTGGAGACGCTTTCTCTCCGTTGGGACAGACGCGAACTAGCTAAATTGATTCAGTAGCTAGCTTTACACTTAACTAGCTAACAGTAGCTACTAAGGGTAAGTTTATAACCTACACTTATTTTTTATTATATTTTTACATACTGGTAACCAGAGTCGTTTAAAAGGAATTCAAGACATGGGTGACTAGTTAACGTTAGCTTGGCCTTCTCTGTGTGTTTCATACCGTGGGAGGGGTTGTTTCGTTGACAGAGAGCGATGGCGAGCTAATATGCTAACTATTCTAACTAACTGGCTGAATAAGTTGACGACGTACTCACTCAAACTGTCAAATCTAACCCAAAACTTTACACAACGTTAGACAAGGACACAAATGATCTGTTTAGTGTGTTAACACACTATTGGTAGTTTGTTGTAACCGAGTATTGGTGCTAAACCGTGTGTTATTGGAAGCTAACATGCTAGTTAGCAATGGCGTCATAGGATACGGTGCCCTGGGCGGTTTTTCACGGAAGAATACTGTACCAAGTTAGCTAGCTGAATAAACTAAGTTAGTCTATTCCTAGAAAACATTGAACCACTGTAGTTTACAACAACTATAATCTCTAAAGTGGAAGTTGGGAGTTATATTTGAGTGTTTCAGTGAAAGGTGAGTGAGGGAGGCCCCACTCTCTCGCTTCCCCAGATGTTTAGTTAATTTTATTCCGATCTCTTTTGCATTATTGTAGGCTTTTCTGTAGCCTGTCAACTATGTGTCTGTCTATCCCTGTTCTCTCCTCTCTGCACAGGCCATACAAATGCTTCACACCGCGTGGCTGCTGCCACTCTAATCTTGTGGTCCCTGCGCGAACGACCCACGTGGAGTTCCAGGTCTCCGGCAGCCTCTGGAACTGCCGTTCTGCGGCCAACAAGGCAGAGTTCATCTCAGCCTATGCTACCCTCCAGTCCCTCGACTTCTTGGCGCTGACGGAAACATGGATTACCACAGAAAACACTGCTAGTCCTACTGCTCTTTCCTCGTCTGATCATGTGTTCTCACATACCCCGAGAGCATCTGGTCAGCGCGGCGGTGGCACAGGAATCCTCATCTCTCCCAAGTGGACATTCTCTCTTTTCCCCCTGACCCATCTGTCTATCTCCTCATTTGAATTCCATGCTGTCACAGTCACTAGCCCATTCAAGCTTAACATCCTTATCATTTATCGCCCTCCAGGTTCCCTTGGAAAGTTCATCAATGAGCTTGACGCCTTGATAAGTTCCTTTCCTGAGAATGGCTCACCCCTCACAGTTCTGGGTGACTTTAACCTCCCTACGTCTGCCTTTGACTCATTTCTCTCTGCCTCATTCTTTTCTCTTTTGACCTCACCGTCCCCCCTACTCACAAGGCAGGCAATACGCTTGACCTCATCTTTACTAGATGCTGTTCTTCTACTAATCTCACTGCAACTCCCCTCCAAGTCTCCAACCACTACCTTGTATCCTTTTCTCTCTCGCTCTCCTCCAACACTACTCACTCTGCCCCTACTCAGATGGTAATGTGCCGTCGCAACCGTCGCTCTCTCTCGCTACTCTCTCCTCTTCCATCCTATCATCTCTTCCCTCTGCTAAATCCTTCTCCCTCCGATCTCCTGATTCTGCCTCCTCAACCCTCCTCTCCTCCCTTTGTGCATCTTTTGACTCTCTATGTCCCCTATCCTCCTGGCCGGCTTGGTCCTCCCCTCCTGCTCCGTGGCTTGACGGCTCATTGTGAGCTCACAGAACAGGGCTCCGGGCAGCCGAGCGGAAATGGAGGAAAACTAGACTCCCTGCGGACCGGTCATCTTTTCACTCCCTCCTCTCTACATTTTCTTCCTCTGTTTCTGCTGCTAAAGCCACTTTCTACCACTCTAAATTTAAAGCCTCTGCCTCTAACCCTAGGAAGCTCTTTGCCACCTTCTCCTCCCTGCTGAATCCTCCTCCCTCTCTATGGATGACTTTGTCAACCATTTTGAAAAGAAGGTTGACGACATCTGATCCTCATTTACTAAGTCAAATGACACCGCTGGTTCTGCTCACACTGCCCTACCCTACGCTTTGACTTCTTTCTCCCCTCTCTCTCCAGATAAAATCTTGCGACTTGTGATGGCCGGCCACCCAACAACCTGCCTGCTTGACCCTATCCCCTCCTCTCTTCTCCAGACCATTTCTGGACACCTTCTCCCTTACCTCACCTCGCTCATCAACTCATCCTTGACCGCTGGCTATGTCCCTTCCATCTTCAAGAGAGCGAGAGTTGCACCCCTCCTCAAAAAACCTACACTCGATCCCTCCGATGTCAACAACTACAGACCAGTATCCCTTCTTTCTTTTCTCTCCAAAACTCTTGAGCGTGCCGTCTCTAGCCAACTCTCCTGCTATCTCTCTCAGAATGACCTTCTTGATCCAAACCAGTCAGGTTTCAAGAATGGTCATTCAACTGAGACTACTCTTCTCTGTGTCACGGAGGCTCTCCGCACTGCTAAAGCTAACGCTCTCCTCTGCTCTTATCCTTCTAGACCTATCTGCTGCCTTTGATACTGTGAACCATCAGATCCTCCTCTCCACCCTCTCCGAGTTGGGCATCTGAGGCGCTGCTCACTCTTGGATTGCGTCCTACCTGACAGGTCGCTCCTACCAGGTGGCGTGGCGAGAATCTGTCTCCGCACCACGTGCTCTCACCACTGGTGTCCCCCAGGGCTCAGTTCTAGGCCCTCTCCTATTCTCTCTATACACCAAGTCACTTGGATCTGTCATATCCTCACATGGTCTATTCTATCATTGCTACGCAGACGACACACAATTAATTATCTCCATTCCCCCCTTCTGATAACCAGGTGCTGAATCGCATCTATGCATGTCTGGCAGACATATCAGTGTGGATGTCGGATCACCACCTCAAGCTGAACCTCGGCAAGACAGAGATGCTCTTCCTCCCGGGGAAGGACTGCCCGCTCCATGATCTCGCCATCACAGTTGACAACTCCATTGTGTCCTCCTCCCAGAGTGCAAAGAACCTTGGTGTGACCCTGGACAACACCCTGTCGTTCTCCGCTAACATCAAAGTGGTGACCCGATCCTACAGGTTCATGCTCTACAACATTCGCAGAGTATGACCCTACCTTACACAGAAAGAGGCACAGGTCCTAATCTAGGCGCTTGTCATCTCCCGTCTGGATTACTGCAACTCGCTGTTGGCTGGGCTCCCTGCATGTGCCATTAAACCCCTACAACTTATCCAGAACGCTGCAGCCCGTCTGGTGTTCAACCTTCCCAAGTTCTCTCATGTCACCACGCTCCTCCGCACACTCCACTGGCTTCCAGTTGAAGCTTGCATCTACTACAAAACCATGGTGTTTGCCTCCGGAGCTGTGAGGGGAACGGCACCTCCTTACCTTCAGGCTCTGATCCTACACCCAAACGAGGGCACTACGTTCATCCACCTCTGGCCTGCTAGCCCCCCTACCTCTACGGAAGCACAGTTCCCTCTCAGCCCAGTCAAAGTTATTCGCTGCTCTGGCACCCCAATGGTGGAACAAGCTCCCCCACGACGCCAGGACAGCGGAGTCACTGACCACCTTCCGGAGACACTTGAAACCCTACCTCTTTAAGGAATACCTGGAATAGTATAACAGTAATCCTTCTACCCCACCCCCCCATAAAATAAAAAAATAAAAAGGGGGTGGAGGTCCCACTGGCTATCCTAAGTTGAATGCACCAATTTGTAAGTCGCTCTGGATTAGAGCGTCTGCTAAATGACTTAAATGTAAATGATGAAACCAAGATTGAACTCTTTGGCCTGAATGCCAAGCATCACGTCTAGAGGAAACCTGGCACCATCCCTATGGTGAAGCATAGTGGTGGCAGCATCATGCTGTGGGGATGTTTTTCAGCGGCAGGGACTGGGAGACTAGTCAGGATCGTGGCAAAGATGAACAGAGCAAAGTACAGAGAGATCCTTCATGAAAACCTCCAGTGCGCTCAGGACCTCAGACTGGGCCGAAGGTTCACCTTCCAACAGGACAACGACCCTAAGCACACAGCCAAGACAACGCAGGAGTGGCTTCGGGACAAGTCTCTGAATGTCCCTGAGTGGCCCAGCCAGAGCCCGGACTTGAACCCGATCGAACATCTCTGGAGAAACCTGAAATTAGCTGTGCAGCGACGCTCCCCATCCAACCTGACAGAGCTTGAGAGGATCTGCAGAGAAGAATGGGAGAAACTCCTCAAATACAGGAGTGCCAAGCTTGTAGCGTCATACCCAAGAAGACTTGAGGCGGTTATTGCTGCCAAAGATGCTTCAACAAAGTACTGAGTAAAGGGTCTGAATACTTATGTGATAGTTTTTTTTGTTTTGTTTTTTGATAAATTAGCAAACATTTCTAAAAACCTGTTTTTGATTTGTCATTGTGGGGTATTGTTTAGATTGATCAGGAAAAAAAACAATTTAATACATTTTAGAATAAGGCTGTAACCTAACAAAATGTGGAAAAAGTCAGGCGGTCTGAATACTTTCTGAAAGGGAGTAATTTTGATGTTTATCTTCAAAATATCACAACCCATTTCAGCATATTGACACTGGGCTACAAATCAAAAATCGATAACAGGAAGCAGCAACAGTACCATTTAACGTATGTTTTAGGAATATCAACAGGATTCTACTTAATCACGTAAAAACTACTGAATGAGCCCAAAACGTGCTTTGATGTATTGATTTTGATGATATAACTGAAATCGTGAAAATACGTTCGTTTTGCCTACAATTATTTAAAGCATTTTACAGTAGCTTGTTGCACATAGCTTAGGTATCGGAAGCTAGTTATCTTGTCCATAGTAGGAAACACTGAATAAGACAGCCTGAAAACTAGGTACATGACATGAGGCAAGCCGTGTTAACCTGATCTGAAGCTACTTTTAATCTAGCTAGCAATGAAGAGTCCACTGCATAGCCATTGCAGCTAAGGTAGCTACTGTAGTTGACTTCTAGTTGAGTTAAGTTAACTAAGTTACCCAAACCTTAGCCAACATCACTACAAGTGTTTATATAGGTATTGGATAACAAGATAGTCATGTCATGTGATTAGCTAGCATTTATCAGATACACACTTTTTTGAAACAGAAGTTTCATTCGCTGGCTCATTGGCTAACTAGTAAAGTCAGTTCGGTGAAGGAATTAGAAAATACGCTTGCCAATAAATAACAAAGCAAATTCGACCTCACTCATATTGACAAGTTAACTAACTAGCCAACCAACTAACGTTAGTTAAGTTAGGTAGTAGCTACTATCTTGCTAGATAGCTACGCAACAACGTGTATGACGCGGGCGAGGAATGGGAGAAACGTCAAGTGAAGTGGGCTAGATAGATAACTAACTAACGTTAGGCTAACGTTATTTCGGCTGATATCCATTTAGTGTATCAAGAGTTAAGCTAACTTGTTTTCAACATAGTTGGTTAAACATTACCCTGTTGGCCAGGCTAGCAACGAAGCTAGCTAGCGCCCGGTAACGTTAGCGTAGCAAATTTGTTAGCGTGAACTAGCTACAGTGGCTAGCTAACTTAAGCTAGCAAGCAATGTGTCAACTCACAAGCGTGTATTATTAGCTAGCATTTATCAGTGGATATTTGGCATGTTGTTTTTAAATAAATAAATATGACGACAAATATGCGTCCAGATAGCCACATCGTGTTGCTAGCTACTCACATTGCTGTGACTATCGATGGCCTGCAGCAGCCGGTCTCTCATCTGCTGCGGAGTTGCTGAGGCCGTTGTCATTGCCTGTTCGGTGCGATCCGGCGAACGGGGGAGGAATCCTCCAAAACGAATACTGTGGTACTTGCCGACACTCACGGGCCTTTATGGAGATATGCTAGACACTTAGGCCGCATATTTATCTAATGCCTGTACGCTTAAATGTTCGTATAATGTCACATGGATTCAGAGACGTTCACCGCCTGCTACTGCCTCTTCGGCGCTCTGGAAACTCACCACCAGCCGCTGACTGCTGGATCAGTCACAACGGCCTCCTATTGCATTATGGGATGCAATGGACGCACACTTGACCCGCGCACGAAGCTAAACCTAAACACACCTGGGGTAAGAGAAGGCCCCAACTACTCAATGTTTTCAATAACATTAGCTTACAATAACCTACTGTAAAATTCATTATAGCTTGTATTATAATCACTACAAATGTAAGTGTTCTAACTGTTAAGTGTTAACACAACTGTGTCATCTGTCATAATTCTTTCTATAGGAAGTTATTCCTACTGATGGTACCTTTTGTGTATGGCAATGCATTGTATTGTTCTCATGCAATAAAAAGCAAAATTGCGTGAACATATGATCCTATGGAAACCTCACTGGACTTGATTAGGTCAATGATTAAGTGTAGCCTAATAGTGTGGACTATTTACTGGCCCAAGCAATTAAAATAGTTATTGTCAGCATTGCTTTCCTCCAAACTGTTGCTGAAATGTTAATTTGCTGGGCCTTTACAGGATGTGACAAGAGGGGCCAGGGGAGCCAGGTGAATAAGGTGATTTCCAGTTAAGCACCTGGGAAACTCCCAAAGACGTGGAAAAAAATAGCCAAATCAGGGGAACTAAATGCATTCTCTTTCTACAAAAAGTTGCCAAGTGGTTATTATATTTTAGCTGACATAAGACTTCAATGTAACTGCTTCAGTTACAATGGCTCTACAAATTAAATATTATTATTATCTTACTGTGAGTGAACATAATATTTGTACTCTTTACAGCCACTCTACCTCTCATGATCACCAGATGGAGACATTGTACAACAATAAAACAGTGGGCCAACAACATTTAGTGGGATCAGTCACATTGATTATTTAGATTTTTATTTAATCTAATTTCATTTACAAATAGTAATGCAAAGATACAAAGACAGAAGACTTCACACAAGAAAAATACGTTAGGTACGATTTGAATAGAAGCTTAACATTCGTTTTCAGTTATTTAGTACACATTTAATATAGCCACTTTGATTTTTTGGTCTGTTTTCTCCCTTTAATATAAAAGCACAATTTAAAGAACAAGATTTGATCCATTCATTTTAAAGGGTCAGCTCAACAAAAGTACAGGATTGCCAAGCTGTTCTGCTGAATGCTAGGATTTGCATATTTGATGAGCATAACTGTGTCCTGTTGCTGTGAGTACAGTATGTGTAGTATCCAGACATTGCAGTTAAATGCATTTGCAACATTTGAGTAATCGTACTCAAAAAGAAAATACATTATATTACAATTTAGCTGCCGTTGTATGAGAAAAGGACCACTAGAGTGGGCCATCCCCCATTAAATGCACATCAGAGGATTTGTAGTTTTTGTTGTTGTTGTGGTAATAACTATGCTGAATGATCAAACAATGACTCTCTCCATTTCATCTGGCTAGTTGATTTTCCCTTTTTACATGTAGTGCCACTATAATAATACAAAAATGTACAGACTTATATTGAGATCTGCATTTTATTCTACAGGAGATGCTTTGGGTGAGCAGGTTTAAGTCACACAGTGTGTTTGCACATGGTTAACCTATCCTAGTCAGAGCTAAATACTTGCTAAAAGCAAAAAATATATCACATCAAGCCTTTGAGTCATAACATGTTATTTAGAAATGTGGTACCATGTAGAAAGAGTTACCTCAAGGTATCAAGCAGAAAATGTCAGTCACATGTCAGTCTTAATGCGGTAGGTTATGCAGTGAGAAATAAACTCTTAAGATTAATATTTTCCTTTTCTAAATGTAAACAATTCATAGACAAGTCTATGGTTTTAAGTTGATGTAATTCTCAGTCTAACAAAACAAAAACGTAACTTTGGAGATTCAGTGGGAAATTAGAGTATTTGAAGAGTATTTCAACTTTGACAAACACATTTTAGTGAAGGACAGAAAAACAAAGTGCTCTAAATAAGTGCATTACTTGAACTATAAATAAGATTTAAAGGGACAATTTATGAACTTAATACTTTGTAAATACAGTTATTTATTTTGCAGCTTTATAGCCTGGATCCGTTGGTTTTAGCATTGGACAGTTCCATTGTCACAGTCATGACGTTAAGGGAAGCTGTCAACTGCTGATCCAGCCAGGCTAGTTGGCATATGTTAAAACGGTTGAGATGGCCATGTTTGGCTATGTAATACTTATATATTGCCCTGATCACCTGTCTGGTGTCATGGGGAAGTTGATGGGTTTACAGCAGGGCTATTCAACCGCGGGTCCGCGCCCCCCTAGGTGTCCGTGAAGGTAATGCAGGGGGTCCGCAAAAATATATATACAGTACCAGTCAAAAGTTTGGACACACCCACTCATTCAAGGGTTTTTCTTTATTTTTTACTATTTTCTACATTGTAGAATAATAGTGAAGACATCAAAACTATGAAATAACACCTATGGAATCATGTAGTAACCAAAAAAGTGTTAAACAAATCAAAATATATTTGTTATTCTTCAAAGTAGCCACCCTTTGCCTTGATGACAGCTTTACACACACACTTGACATTCTCTCAACCAGCTTCATGAGGTAGTCACCTGAAATGCATTTAAGTTAACAGGTGTGCCTTGTTAAAAGTTAATTTGTGGAATTTCTTTCCTTCTTAATGTGTTTGAGCCAATCAGTTGTGTTGTGACAAGGTAGAGGTGGTATACAGAAGATCACTCTATTTGGTAAAAGACCAGGTCCATATTATGGCAAGAACAGCTCAAATAAGCAAAGAGAAACGACAGTCCATCATTACTTTGACATGAAGGTCAGTCAATACGGAAAATTCAAGAACTTTTAAAGTTTCTTCAAGTGCAGTCGCAAAAACCATCAAGTGCTATGATGAAACTGGCTCTCATGAGGACCGCCACAGGAAAGGAAGACCCAGAGTTACCTCTGCTGCAGAAGATAAGTTCATTAGAGTTACCAGCCTCAGAAATTGCAGCCCAAATAAATGCTTCAGAGTTCAAGTAACAGACACATCTCAACATCAACTGTTCAGAGGAGACTGCATGAATCAGGCCTTCATGGTTGAATTGCTGCAAAGAAACCACTACTAAAAGGACACCAATAAGAAGAAGAGACTTGGACATTAGACTGGTAGAAATCTGTCCTTTGGTCTGATGAGTCCAAATTTGAGATTTTTGGTTCCAACTGCCATGTCTTTGTGAGACGCAGAGTAGGTGAATGGATGATCTTTGCATGCGTGGTTCCCACCGTGAAGCATGGAGGTGGTGGTGTGGGGGTGTTTTGCTGGTGACACTGTCAGTGATTTATTTAGAAGTCTAAGGCACACTTAACCAGCATGGCTACCACAGCGTTCTGCAGCACTACGACATCCCATCTGGTTTGCGCTTAGTGGGACTATCATTTGTTTTTCAACAGAACAATGACTCAACACACCTCCAAGCTGTGTAAGGGCTATTTGACCAAGAAGGAGAGTAATGGAATGCTGCATCAGATGACCTGGCCTCCACATCACCCGACCTCAACCCAATTGAGATGGTTTAGGATGAGTTGGACCGCAGAGTGAAGGAAAAGCAGCCAACAAGCGCTCAGCATATGTGGGAACTTCTTCAAGACTGTTGGAAAAGCATTCCAGGTGAAGCTGGTTGAGAGAATGCCAATAGTGTGCAAAGCTGTCATCAAGGCAAAGGGTGGCTAAATAATGAAAAAGATCTACCAAATCTATTCATTTTAAAATGTTCATTACTTTTTGTCATTATCAGTCACCTAATGATAAGACAAAATGTGATTATTAATTTTTTTGCTAATGTATGATGGGGTCCCTGGGTCGCAAATTTGCCTGGGAGGTTGTCTCTGGGCAAGAAAAGGTTGAAGACGCCTGGTTTACAGTATCGTGTGTGGATGGCAAGGGTCCATTTCATATTAAAACAATATCTTTCCCATTATTTAGAGAAGGACCTTTGTTTTTGGCCATTTCCTTTTGCACATAGTTGATTTGTATGACTGATAGAGTATAGTATTACAATTCCAAAAGGACACATTTTGTAAACAAGTCAAGAGAACACAAAACAGTCCTTTTGTCACGACTTCCGCCGAGGCTGCCTCCCCTCCTTGTTCGGGCAGGCTTCGGCGTTCGCCGTCACCGGAGTACTAACCACTGCCGCCCCAATCATCATCACAATTGTCTTGTCAATCACACACACCTGGTTCTATTCCCCTAATTAGTCGGTGTATAAGTGTTCCCTCTGCCCCTTGTCCTTGTGGGTGATTGTTTATTTGTGGAGGTTAGTGAAGCTCGGTGGAGCTCGTGTATTGACGGTAGTATTTTTCCCGTATGCCTTGTATTTTCCAGTGCGCCTGTTTTGTGCCCTGGAGTGTTTGACGCATTTCTGCGTAAACCTGTATTTTGCAGATTAAAGCCTGTTATTCTGTGATTTACCCTCCTGCGCCTGACTCCATCACCACCTCATCACACCTTTATAACCGAACTGATATCTACCTGTAGTTCATGTGGTTTATACATTTTTATCTATGATAAGTTACATGAACGTACACACACACAAAAACCATGCAAACCTGCTCCATTCTTTGTAAACGGTTGCTTCTGTAAACGTTTTGAGTATAAACCGTTGGACACCCGAATATTGGTGCAAAAATTGTGGCAGTAATAATAGATCTATCAAATCAGTCAGATTTACTACATAAACACAGAAAAAAATTGTTTGAAAGAAAAAAGACAACTGATTATAAAAACACAGTTAAGCAACATGGAGTTTGGATCAGTCTGAAAAACTTTAGGTTAACCGATACTTTAAGTCAGAAAAACA